TTTTTTTTTTTTTTTTTTTTTTTTTTTTTTTTTTTTTTTTTTTTTTTTTTTTTTTTTTTTATCTGTATCCCGAGGAACGCAGGTAAGAGTGCAATTTGTTAACTTCCTTGTTAAAAGTTTTTGGATTTTCGGTTCATTGGAAGAGAAGAGTTCTTCCATTCCTCGGTTTTACAATCGACTCGGCGAAGATTGGGTTTTCCTTACTCTTGTATATATGTATATACACCTTGGCAGAGGAGATTAAGGATTAAGACAGAGGAAGAATTCGCTTTCAAAAGCCGGGGAAGTTCACAGGAGTGTTGTTCGCAGGGGGTCTGATAGTTATACATTATATCCCCGGCTCCGCGACAAGGAATTAGAGGAGCTAAAGCTACCTCATCTACTTTTAAAGGCCCAACAAAATTGTCCCCAACGAAATAAGACCATTTCAAAATTATATTCACGAAGCTTTTGGAACTCGCAACAAGAAATGAATAAAATAATTTGGTTCGTAAAAGACAAAGTGACGTCACATACATGCTCCAGGTACATGAGAGAGAGAGAGAGAGAGCTAAAAAATGTGGGTCCGACCCACTTTTGAGCTCGACGTATGTGAAAGAAAGAGACGCGGTTATCAAGTGTCGTTACTCAAGTTCAGATTGCACGGGGGAGGGCGCGAGCTCGAGTTCGTTAAGGAGCTACACGCGAAAGTGTGTGTGGACGTTAGACGACGGTATTATATGATGTACGCAGCAGCTCCCGCTTTAGGGTCAATTTTAATGATCCGAACTTTTTAAAAATCGCGCCCTAGCCGCCCTGTAATTATGATAATCAAGCTCGGATGATGTACGTGTACAGCAATGCGAAAACACGGATTACGTGACTTTGTGTGTGCGTGTGCTTTTATGGGGGAGGGGAAAAGGTAAAATCCCCTTTTAATCCACGCCCGTGAGTTTGGAAAAGTTCATTAGTTCGAAATGAAAAAAATCTCACGAGCTCGGACGTACGAAGGATTTGGCTGGACTTGGCGTATGATAAACAAGCTCGCATCCGCGTTGGGAGAAAAATATATATTTACGTTTTAATTTCGCGAAAAAAAATTGGCTGCTCGGAGATACAATTATACCGCGGGTGCCGGGATTTCGGATTTTTCACTTGCACGGAAGCTCGTTGGGATTAACCTTTGGCCGCAACGATGGAAATCTCGACTGAATATATATCGCGTTAATCAAGCTCTATTGGCCTTTTTAATCGTACCCTCCTTTGCCCAGTTTTTGTTTCAACCACCCTCGAAATTTCTACGAGCGAATTTTCAACTCGAATCGTGCGAGTATCCGGTTACTGGCATTTTACGACTCCAAATGAAAGGCTCTCCTTCTTCATTTCAAGAAGAACAGCGATAACAGTGAAAAAACAAAAAAAGACAAAGTTACGTATCTCCCAATCTGTTATGGGTAAATTATCTCCTCTTCCCCGTTATTCATCTAAAAATCAAGCACATATTTTTTCTTGCTGACTCACCCGTCATTCGTTAAAATCATGAAAGACTTTGAAAATTTCTACTTGCGTGCCAGTGACCAGGTTTATGAAACCAAAAAAATTTAGAGAATAACTTTGTACAAAATATAAATACTTCGTACAAATACAAATGTTACCTTGTACACGGAACCACATAATGAGTAAACCAAAAAGGACAATGTACCCAATAAATAACACAACGCATGTATATATTATATGAATACAAGTAGGTGCGACAACGAACGGTCCCTCGATGGTAATAAAGTATCCAAGGTGTCACATACCGGCTATAGTACAAAAATCAAAGGAATCCCTTAACTAACTACCGCAGCCGGCTGTATAACTGTACACGTGCTTCCTCCCGGGGCTCATTTGCAACATGAATTGCGCTTAAAATGCAAGGCTCGCGCGCGCTCTGCATACCCAAAGCTACAGCTATGTATAATATACAGTTATATTTGTATAGTCAGAGCCGAACCCAATAAGTCAAGGAGTATTATGTAAATGCAGGCGCGCTTTTTCTCGCAACATCCTCAAACGACTACGGCAGAGCCGAGCTTATACGTATACCTAATACTCTCTCAAGTTCGAGGGAATGAGAGAAAGGACCCGCCGTACTGGCAGCATAATAACCAAAGCAACAAGTAAACGTCGCGCCGTGTTATCCGGCTGTACAAAATGTAAATTAGCCCCCCCCCCTCCCAACCCCCTACCCTTCTCATCTCTTTCGGGGGCCTGAAGAATGTAAGCAGTGCTACGAGAAATTTATTTATTGACTTTTTTTTTTTTTTTTTTTTTCTTTTTTTTTTAATTTAACTCTTCAAGTATACCCAGATACGCAGGGGTGGATTATTGCCATCTTTGTGGACTAGGTGATGAATAATGCCAAGGGAGTATAGACAAAAGGGATACGCCGGACAATAAAATTCTCGCCCAACCCCGCGCGCCCGCGTAACTCATTTACCATCCATCGACCCTGTACATACTCGGTCTCTGTCGAAAAATACTCTTTTGTTATTCGTATAGCGCCGTGGTCCTTTGCTCATTGAATGTACCGCGAGAGGCTTAGCTTTTACGCGCGAATAATACGTAATCAGAGCAAAAGCTCCCTCTTAGTCTGGAAGTCTTTTGACGAGCTGCACGTGTGCTTTGATCCCGTGTGCTCTCGATCCGACCCCCAAAGAGATCATCCGGAAGGTTTTTTTTTTCCGAGATACACGCGCGACCACGTGTGGGTGGATGTATAAGCTTTTTTTTTTTTTTCTCCTCTTTGCTGGTCCACTTTTTCCTTTTCCTCCTCGCCGAAATTATGCAAACGAGCGGAATTTCGTGCTCCATCTGCGCGAAACGGGGCTAAGATGTCTATACGGGTCCCGCGGACTCAACACCCTTGAACAAACTTCCGCATCGCGTATACGCGTGCAAACACATATATTCATACGCATAAACGTATTTGGAACACAGGCCGGTGACCCGTATAGAAAGGCGCGTCCTACTTTTTACTCGTGGTCTTCCGTCGGGTTGACGTGCATTTGCATATGGTTTTTTTTTTATTCGACCCGTCCCTCGCTCGATAAACACAATGTGTAGCATCAGAATTCCCAACGTCTTGACCTCGATGAGAGGTAATAAAAAGATAGGAAAGGGGCAAAGTGCTCGTGAGATAATTATAAGAAAGTCAATGGCGTATCGATGTGTACGCTGTGCGTTGTCCGGGAAAATAACTCAGTCAAAGCACGTATAACGATCTTAATTGGGAGGTAACGAGCGAGTGGGCCAAAAATTATGCTTCGCTTCCCATCGAGAGCTCGTGATATAGTATAGTAGTAATAATAATTAGTGCCAGCATATACGTACGAGAATTCATCTTCATTAGAGAACACGTCATTTTTGACGAGGGGGGGGGGACGAGGTGGTGTACTTTCCGGGATATTAACAGTTTCTCGAATGATATTTAATTTGACGATACCTCGTAGAAAGTACATATTGGATCAAAGTTTCCTGCGATACTTTTTTCCGTCCGTTTTGATTATCGTCTCGTGGTGGTATTTTTAGAGCACTAACTATACTCTGGGTATAATTATTTTTCATGATTTTACCTTTATCGGCATCGGAGTTGTCAACAGGGCTACCCGTATATTTTTATTGGAGAAGAAAAACTTATACTAGATGTCTATGGATGAAATACCGAAACTTTTGCATGATGGCCACAAATACGATTTTTTGGTATAGTCATCAATAAGTAGATCAATAAGTTTTTTTCAAGTAAGGGAAGATATTGAAAAAAATGGATTTTGTTATTATTCATTTTGTCATTTCAAATGTATATACATACACCTTTCGATGAAACGAAACTTACTGCTTTTAAAAGCATACTAGCTGCGAGGTAATTTTACGAAGCGCAAAGTTGGGAAACATATTTTCTTATTGTCTGGTTGCACATTCCCAACTCTGACATTAGTGGATATCATACTTTGCTGGTTGCGAAGTACTTTGTAGCCACGGAAGGTGTATATAACTTGTGGAAAATTTTACCACCTGTAGGACTGAGAAAAGTTCGGTCCAAACCGCATTACGTTAATTCGTATTTATGTCGCGTTTGAGTGTAAATTCCTACACCGTGGGTGAACCTTCCTTAACAAAAATTTCATTTTATCCTTTGACTCGTTCAAAGCTAAAAATATATCTTTGTATCCCTTTCCCAAAATTCATCATTTTATGTTTACAAATTCTTATACAACCTGCAAAAATATTGAGACTTTATAAACAAAAACTATGTATAAACTGCATTATTTTACAAATGATATAAAATCGTATGCTGCACAATAAAAACGTATAAAATTACACTTCGACATCGACGAGGCGAGCTTTTTCAAACGCGCAATATATATATATAACACGTGTATCGTACACGTGAAGAGATATAAAAGTCAGCGCGCCCGTACAACGTTAGATTTGTTTGATTATAAACTTCGGGAAGTTTCAGTTAACGACACCCACGCGTTCAGCTCAATCCCAACTTCCTAACGCGACAAAGAAGCCGAAGCGGGATTAATTCAACGAGAGGCGTGTGCTCTCGCGTACACCCACTCCGAGCAAGGGAGGTGCAATGTATATAGGTAGAATCAACGAGTAACAGCGGTTAGGCGAGATAAGGGAAAGTAAGTATAATTACGGGGAAGGAGGTGGATATAAAACGATTGTGTACTCGGGCAAAGTGATAATTGCGTTTAGCTGGACGTGGATACTCGTGTGTACTGACCTCCGGAGGCGACGCAGGTGATGTTGAGCGAGGCCCCCTCGCTGAACGGTCCGAGCACGTAGTACCGAATGTGCGACTCACCGTCCTCGTCCAGGATGCTCAAGTTCTCCGGTGGTACTGCAACAGAGAGAACACATTATAATATACTGTACACACACATATATGCATATACTCACAAGTGAGGGCGTGTAGGTGTGTATAATGTGAAACGAAGTTTGCCCGCTCGCTCGGCGTCAAGTTTATACTAAGTACTGGCGCTCTCTTCCGCTCATTATGCCGAGCTGACTATACCTGTACCTGTACTGTACGCAAGCTTGCTTTCATAAGCCGGCTGAAAGGGTGGTGCTTGTGTATTGTGCTTGCAGCTACTAAGCGTCTCGGTTGTTTTTTTTTTTTTTTTTTTTTTTTTTTTCTCAAAGAGTCTCGTCTTTAAATCAACCCGGACAGGGGTGGATTTTTTTCCGATCGCTACGAGACGTCTACTCTGTATACGTACGATCGAAGAATTTACGCAACGAAGGCGAGGAGGAAAAAAATAAACGAAATGAATGCACGCGCCTAGGATTCCCGAGTTTCAAGTTTTTTAAATGCGCTCCATCTCTCGTTGTGTCATTACATCGCGAGCGCGGGATTACGGTGGGAGAGCGCGCGACTGATACTCTCCAAGCGATTCGGAAATAACGATGCAAATGTATATATATATACATGGGAAACATCGGCGCGTCAAGTAGTACAAGCTCGCAATGGTCGGACACGTATATATATGTATATACATGTATATGGAGATGGAGGATGATGTTACACAGTTCGCGATCCAATTAAACGTAAAGCCATTGAAATCACCTCTCGTTCGAGCACACAAGAGTCTGGTGGAGTATAAAATAACACTGTTACTCTGATTAGTTGTCAAAGCCTTACGGATCATGGGAATTTGTATCCATTCGATACTATTCTCGATATCTACTCTCTGCATAACTGTGCTTGCGAGTTGTAGCGGTTTAAATGTTTAAGCTCGTTTAACAATCGGCCTATATATACGATAAATATGTCGCTTTATTGTACAGGTGTGCACGAGTAGTTGAAATTTCACGAAGATCAGCAAACTTTCAGAGTTTTACTTGAATGAGCTGCATAAAAAAAAAGAGTTTTTTTTAACTCAATTATAATACTGGAGTATAAATATTTGAAAAAGGTCAAAATCAACCTGATCTTTGTTTTTTCTTCGCGATTTATTATCACAGAATAATTATTACAAATATTTTGTACATCAACAACGCGATCAAACCATTGTTAGATCAGCAAAAAACGTCCCTAACCGACAAGTATAGCTTATAAACTCAAGTTCGAGTTTAATTCTAACTGGATTAATTTTTCATTAATTTCCAAAAACTTCATGAACCCGAGTACCTATTTGTTCTCTTATTTTTCACCGGAACTAGTTTTAAACTATTCAGGCATTTTTTTTAGTTCCCGATGGTAACTATATACTCAACACATGCATGTACGAAAAGGTAGCGTGACAACTAACTGCAGCACTTGCCGCGTCCCGTTTCGGTAAATAGACGTCAGTGGCGCATTTACAACGTCGGCATCGGGGGGCCGATAAGATCGATCAGAGCTGACGCGGAAAGATGATGGCAATCTGCTCCCTCAGCCTCTTTGTCTCGTCTCCCTCCCCCCCCCCCCCCAAAGGCCTCCGTTCTAACGGTCAATTTCTCTCCGGCGTCGCATTTCCGCCTCCGAAGGCCCCATCGAGCGTGAATTTAGGTGGTGCCGACGAGGGAATATCGACTTTTCCAGGTTTTGCAGGTACTATCACCCCTCGTTTTCTTTTTCTCGACACTACTCCCTTTTCTCTTTTCATTTATTCACGCGAACCTCGAGTAAATACGAAAAAGTATATCAGAGATTCAAGGGGCGATATTTAGGTTCACCCACCACACAAGCATACGCGCTATGAATTTTCTTGCTCGTTTAGGGGTTCTTAAAAGTAGAGGAAGGTGGTACTATGGGCATTTCGCTGTTAGAGTAAAGAGGACGTAGTGCCTGGGCACCTGCTGCGACGGACCACGTCAAACGGTATGGGTACAAGTAGCCAACCCCACACACAGGCAACGGCACTACAGAGATAAGAAGTCGAAGCTCTCCCGGTTCATCGCATTAACGATTTCATTCTCCCGACTCCCGGTCTTGGGGTGCAGTTTGCAAAATCGCTATAGTCTTCGCCCCCTATAAAAAGCTCGTCTAATCCGAGCAAAACCACTTATCAAGACCAGAGAAGACCACCCTCGAATATAGGGCTCTTCGAGGGATTTTTATCTTTTTATTCTTTCGAGTGTGCGTTTGTGCGTACATGTAACGTGGTTCTGGGGAAAAAACTGGTTCTTACTTATGACGGTGAGGTTGACCTTGCTGTTCCTCGTGGGTGACTGCTTAAAGTCGACGCGGCAGCGGTAGAGCCCCGTGTCGGCCTCCCTGACGTTTTCGAGCTTGAGCTTGGCCGGGCTGTCGTTGTGCTTGAAAAACGCCCGGTTGCCCAGCTTCGCGTCCGACCAGTGCTTGCCCTGCTCGAGCGCGGTTATTCCCCGCGAGTCGAACCTGAAACCATACAACAATTTTGCGCTCGTTCATTGTAATGTTGACTTTTTTCCACAATGAGCGGAATTGGGGAGGGTAATCCTGCTTCGATTAATTTAATCAGCGCAAAAACGCCGGATCGATGATACATCTACGTATTATTACTATATACTACGTATTATATTATATACTAGCGGGAAATTGCAAGGGAAATAAGAAAAAAAACAGAGAGGCAAGAAAATGTAGCACCTGGCATTTAGACTGCTGACAATGGAGGGAGGGGGTCTAAATTAAATAGATTTTCAATCGAGGCCCATTACTTTCGCGCTTAATCCTCCTTACTCGAGGTTTTTTTCTCTCTCTCTCTCTGCTCCTCGTCGTCGCCGTTCCCCGACCCCCGACTCGGTGCCACCGTGCACTCTACCGTGCGCTCGTGCTCGTCTCTTTTTCGCCCAGGTTAATTTGCATTCCGAGAGAAAGAAAAATCCGTCTTGCCATCGGGCACGAACAAAGGCCCCTCCTCCACCTCCATCCATCCATTTAACTCTGCACGCGTATATATATGTATACATCTACACGAATTGCAAGCGTCCGACGTAAGGGAAAAAGGTTGAACGGATGAGAGATTTTCCTCTCTGCGCTATTGTTTCCCATCGATCGGCGAATCTGCTCAACGAAACATCTGTAAGCGCTCCGTGTGTGTATAAGCCAACGCGGCGGCACATGCTCCAAGCACTGTGCATGGGATATCGATCGAATGCGTATAACACGCGGCTTGGCTTTCCCTCTGCCGCGTTGTTCGCTAGATTTGAATTCCAATCGGAAAAGCTTGTTTTTTTTTGTCCCTCTCCCCCTGTTTCAATGGTAGTTTTTTTTTTTTTTTTTTTCCATTTCGCGGTCAAACGGAAGAGCAACGCATCGGTATTTGATCGGTATACGGTTCGACATTGCGTTTTACGCATCATTGTTGGTTAATGGACTTTTGGCCGGATCGTCGATTTATCGGAACAAACAGTGTGGTTTTTTTTTTCTCCCCCTCTTGGACGATCCGTAGCTTATACAGGGTACATAGCGAGCGCTCGAAGCTTCGAGCATTAGATTAATGCTCTCGGGCCGAGCTATCGAGTTTAATGGATTCAAGTGCAGTTTGCACTTGTTTGCCGCTTCGAGCCAATAAAGAATAATTTTCGGGAGCTGCACGCCCGTGTTTGCGCATACGTGCGCCCGCGTACACACGTAATGGAGTACGTGTACGTACGAGAAGTAAGTTTTAAGGGGAGGTGGGGAGTAATTGCTTGGTTGGTTAGCCCCGAGTCTGTGGGTCACTGGCTTCCAGGGTATAGAATCGCGCTATATCTTCGTCGGAACTACCTCACTTGCACGAGCTATTATTAATTTTCAGCCGACCCTCCTAAGCTGAGGTTGCAAAGTTTTTTTTTTTTCTTTTTGTTTTCACGGCTCCCCAGATCGTGATTTTTGTACGATCTCTGTGAGGAGTCGATGGTTGATAGTTTCAAATGATGATTTTGTTCGAGCGCGCCAGTGACAAAGTGTTGACGAGAGGATTTTTCGTCGCCTCCGAGATTATCAAACGCGCAGGAATCTGACGAATCGAGGTCGAGAAGAAAAAAGAACTTCCGGGTAAAATATGAGTTCAATAAGGTTCCTTCCTTATTGATCATGAGAGAGGGAGGGAGAGTCGCTCGGTGGGAAGCTATTTTTCAAAATAAATTGAGGCACCGGAGGGTCCGGAGGATTTTTCAACGCAAACAGAGTCACGTTAACTGAGATCCGTGAAATTTCGAGGTAAAAAAAAAAAAAAAGAGAGAAAAAATCCAGTCTGGGTACAATTACTCACGGGCAACTCTCAATAGTCCGCGGAAATCGAGGGAGGAGGAAAAAAAAAAAGAAAATTAAAAACGAGAAAAACTGCTCGGCCCCCGTTTGGCCCAAAAATAAACATGCGACCAAATTGGATGAGATATTGCGCCGCGACGCTTTTCAGTCGGTCATTGCTGGGTATGTGTGTGCAAGACAGTATACAAGCGTCGTCGACTACGCGAACGAGGGCGCCCCGGCAATAATTATTACCGAAGCGAGATCGCGATGAATAATTTCGACGAAACGTTTTCCGATATTGGCAATCTCCAACTGAAAACAAAAAAAAAAAAAGAGGAAGAAACTGGTGGAGTCATCCCTACTGTGTCGGGTTCATTAAAAGAAGAAATAAAAAAGTATAATTTTTTTTTTTTTTTTTTTAATTTCGACTGACGCCCTTGCACTCCTCCATTGTATGTATTTGTAGGTACGGCGCGATGGTTCAATCAACCAAATAGAATTATCCGGGGCATGAAAAATGCGCGAAAATTAACTACGATTATGCATATATCGAGCGAGCGAATTTAATTGTTGAATATTAAAACAATCAAGCTAATGGATTTGTTCGAGGCGAAATTTTAATGTATATGAGTCGAGACACTTTAATATCCCAGCAAAGTTTAACCCCCGCGCAGAGGAGTAGCCGGTGCATCAGGAGTGCAGTGAAATGAAATATGTGAATAATTCTGAATAAAACATTTAATGCAGCGAGAAAGCGCGCGGCCACTCGAGAGAGCGAGCCTCGACGCTATGTGCATGGGCTCTCGTGCAGCGCCACTCTGGGAAAATTTGCAGAAATAAACAAGCTCTCGACATCTGAATTACATGGAGCGCATCTGTGTATATCTGATTCTATCCTCATCCCCTCGAGTCGCTGGATGGGCCTTTACCATTTCTACTTCTGTGCCATTTTGCGACCCATGCATATTGAAACCGCGCACCGGAGCGCTCCATTCAACGAGATTTGCTCTCTTTCCCCGGCAGCTCCCGCTCGCCTATCCCGACTTGCCGCTGCGCTTAATATTTGAAATCAATGCACCACGCGGGACTTTCATTGTTCCCTCATTTCCAAAGTGCCATTTCGTCCTTTTCAAGGGTCTTTTGGATGGAATATATATAGGTACGAGTCAAAGGGTGAAGTTAAAAAAAAACAGCTAGTACGGCGTTCGCGCGACGAGAAAACACGTTTGGGTGCGTGAAAATATTATGATTTTCCGGGCTCTTTGCGGCATTACCACCTCCCCCCCCCCCCGAACCTTTGCACTTAGCATCTAATCTGAAATTGAAATTTTACCTGCGAACGACTGCAAAGGGAATTTCCTATCTGCTTTTAGCAGTGGAAGGCTTGAGTGGTGATGACGCGGCACAAGGGAGCGCGAGAGTTTAATCCGTGTAAAACCGACCATGTAAAGGAGAAACTGTATATATATTATAACCCTTAAGGGCATTCGGTGTGTATCAGTGGGAGTTTATATCTCACCATCAGCTTCGCTTCAATACGTTTTCATTAATTTATAATTTCAATGGATACATTTGCCCAAAATTAATGAGAAGAGGCACAAAGCTGGTGCTTGAAGGAATTATTCCGGCCAAAGTAAGCCGAGGCAGGTAAGTCGCACGTACGCGTGATCGTCAAAGTTGCTTCCTCGGATTATCAGCACCTCGGTGCTCTTGTGCGATCACGCGTTGCAACTTTTCTGCCTCGATTCTCGATGGATTATATGATAAACTTTGGCTTGAATAATTCCTGAAGATATCAACTTTGTGCCTCTTCTTGTAAAGTTACTGGTTAACGAAAATGGGTCGAGGTGAGGCTGTCGGCAAAACATACACTCCCTCTGATATAATTATAGCTTTAAGAGGGTTCAATGCGGAATCAAAAGTCTTACTCACGCGATGAAGCTCTGAAAAGTTGCTTAATTAATTTAGGTGTACAGCCTCTCTAAATTCGAGGTAAGTAGGTTTTGTCAATAAAATCACTGGAAAAAGACTTCTTAACAAAGGGTAAACATTTGGTATGCCACTGACGTGACCATTTTTTTCCAAAACAAACAAACAAATCCATGAGCCCCGAACAAAGGTTTAGAGAAACCAACTGCCTTCACGAGTACCAAGTAATTTTTTTTTTTTTTTTTCCTAACATTTCATCCACCCTATATGTATATACTGGGAGCACTAGAAAGTTGAAAATTATCTTTTGACATAACAGTTGAGCCTTTGACTTCGAGTGGGAAAAAAAACTTACGAGTATATGGGACTGTCCAGGGGTTCCTTGTACCAAATGACGAGGTGCACCTTGTCCCCGGGTATCGGTGGAACGACGTCGCACGGCAATTGGGCTATGTTACCAGCCACAGCCTGGGCCTGACTCGTCACTCCTGTAATCAGAAGAAGCAAAAATATATATGTATTATATAAACGCACCTATAAGCCTTTAATACTTTGTGATTTTGTGTACTCATGTGTGAAGGTACACACAAAGTGGGAGAAAGTAGGAAACACGTTCCTAAATCATAAACTGATATGCTTCGGGATGAGTTTTTATTGTAATTTCATACGAAAACCCAAAACTCGATGTAAAACAAGAATAAAAATATACTCCTGCTGGACCAAGGAACGAATAGTGTAACTTTCAATTGAATAAATATTCAGCTACCTCGTCTAATCTCGTGTACGGGGAAATTGGTAACACTTTGGCCACATTCTAGCGCATTTGTAAGCAAAATACTACGCGCGTTCGCGTCTAATAACGCAAACACACATTGGCGAAATTTCCTATTACACTTTGTAATTTAACGTCAAACATAACGCGCTTACGGGCCTTTTCTTCCCGACCCCCCGGCCAACACTTTGCGGTCCATACAACTACGAACGTGTTTTCGCGTGTACAACTACACTTGCCGAGCTTCGCAGGAGCGAAATATCAATTCTCAATACCCACGTACCGTTATTACAACGAAAACGAGGAAGCAGTAAAAGGTGGTAGTTTTTTTTTTTTTTTTTTTGTGGAGGAAGGGAAAATGCATTAAGGCACACCGCAGGGACAGCGGTAGTGTGATACTCAGTGGATTTTTTTTTTTTTTTTTTTTTTTATTGGTGATTTGGTGATTGGGAGGGGTGGTATCGAATCATCGCGTTATTTCATACTCGAGCGAGGACGCCGGGGTTATCGATCAAACGACGATTTCGCGTGCACTCGGCGTGAGAATCGAAGCGCTTGACGGAACATTTCCATTTCCCCGAGATCGACGTAATTAATCAATCACAGTTCAATGAATTTTTCAGCTCCGCGTACATACAAGTTTGTATGATCGTTCAAATGAAAAAAAAAAACAAAAAACAAATTCATGTAAATACAGGTTAAGGGTATTCGAATACACGAATCGCTCGAATGAACATCGATTTGCGAGTTGAAACAAAAACATACATGGATAAGCATAGGTATAATGTTTAAAAATTTGTATTTTTGGAAGGAAAAAAAAAAAAAAAACTTTCTCGCTTTTTTATAGTTAATTCACCCACAAAGAGAGGACCCTCTAACACACGCGCTCCTTGTACTTCCCCGACATAAGTACTCCGCCTATATGAGGGAAGTCGTGCATAAGAGATTACCTGAATAATTCACGGAAAAGTGGATCTACGTACACTCAACGCGCACTTAGCCGCAAGCATCGGCAAACGGACTATTTTATGTCATCTCCTTTGACCGATAATCAGGTTTCCCCGTCGATGTATACAGCTGCGCCCAACCTCACTTGTCGATGAGCTGACAGGCCAGAGCGCGTTGGGCAGGAATAAAAAAAAAAAAAAAAAAAAAAAAGGACTCGGACACATCCCGAATTCCGGGCACGGCACACCCATCGAGCCACGTACGTACGCGCCAGAGCGAAAATAGAGAAATAAAAGTAAGTGGCGGAAGAAGAAGAAGGAACAAAAAAAAATAAATAAAATAAAATAAAATAAAATCGAGTACGAGCGAAAGGGCTTTATAGATGCGAATCTGACGAGAGTTTGACTGCAGCGCGCTCGCGTCATGTGGGGTAGATACCCCTTTCTGTCTGAATTTTATCGCCGCAGCCGGTCTGCGTTATTTCCTGCGCGCCACAGAGACATGGAGCACAGGCGTGAAAGCTTATCTGCATAAATACCGCGCTCCGAATAAAAGTCCCGGGGACGGCTGCATGTGTATACCACTACAGGGAGTCCAGGTCGCAGCTCTTTTGCCGCGTCGAATGGATTTCAAAGTGCGGAAAAAAAAAAAAAAAAAGAAAAAAGAGATAAACACATAGGTGGGTGGTTGCCGATCCCGTCATTCATATTCCTCGTGCGAGCGAGCTCCTCCTATACCGATCGTTCGCCTCCTTTTCCGAGTAGGTATAGAGCCAAAGCTCAAAGGCGAACTTGCCACGCGTGATCGCGAGCAGTGAGTTCTCGAGTGTAGGATAGACCATACATGTATTCCTCGGAGCTCGCGTGCGTCGTGCGTAATGTGCCCACCGATGGGAAATAATTTAATAATACCTACGAGCCGACGAGCGGGAACTTTGGCCGAACTTTAATACGCTTCTTCCTCCCACCGTTTCGTGTGGGTGTATGAGCTCGTGTTCTTGGCGAGAGATTTCTTACCAAAGTGGTTACACCTTACCGTTACATTATCATTTTTCGTCTCTTTTTTTTCCCCCCCTCGGCCGGAAGCGCACTTTTTTTTCCGGAACGCCCGAGCAGCTCTTCCGATGATATCGCACGCGTCACGTTCGGCTATCAAATTTTCGGGAGCTGCTATATCTCTCTCCCCGCTGGCGATGATTTTACAAACGTGGTATGCGCGCGTGTGTGTTTGTGCTGTCCGTTAGGGATAATGAATTTTGCACGCCGGGGCGTCCACGTGCACGTGGACGCGATGTATATATAATACCCTGGTAATGTTTTTAGGATCAAAATGATAAAGCTCGTGTTTTGGGGGCTTAACGTAATAAGCTTTCGGTTATGCAGATTTTCCGGTCCAAAGTGTTGCCGTTCCGGGTGCTTTGAGTTGATTATACGCGCGGGGGTATACGTATTGTATATCGCCCAAAACGTCGTCGGTTTTTTTTTTATACGTACATTTTCTTCGTGCAATAACATTTTACATTCATGTGCGACTCTTTGGATAAAAAATATCTTAGATATAATCTGGACGTGGCTTTTGTCCCAAGGGTATCACGAGCAATATCTGATTTCCAGTGTAGTACACACCCCACCAAGTAAATTGAAAACGTTCCAGTTTGGCTGTACTTTTTACAAGACCATTACTTGTGCTTTGCACAAAAGCGAGTATATACCCATGGGTGCCGAGTGCGCGGCCACATTTTTTTTCAGTTCGACCGACAACGGGATTTCTCGAGCAATAGCGGCACCCGAAAACACCTAATCCCTAAATTCAAGCCACGAACAAAGAAATTTCCAGTGCGCGCCCAAAAGGGGGGTCGTGGTGGCTGCGAGCGGAGAAGCATCACTTACACACGGAGCAATTTCACCCCCTCCCCTCCTAAACCTCCTCCCATCCTCTTTGCGAGCTTGTGTGCGCGGTGCAGTAATACTCCCCCCCCCTCCCCTATTCCTTTTCCACCCGGTCGTGAGTATAACTCCCGAGCTTTTACTTTTTCAGTGCACGAGCGTGCAAATCCAAGCGGAAGACGTGTGACTCCGTGAAAGGAGTCCGGGGCGCGAAAAAAGAGAGAAAGGAAGCCACCCACCGCCTCTCCGCCCTTGCAGTAAAGTGCAGCTCGCCGTACATATGCAAAGTAAGGGTGTGCGCGTGTGGAGGGTGCGTTGTTATATGTACATGTGCGCTCTTCTTTGGGGGGGGGGATGCATGGAAGAAGCAACCATACGCATCAGCGACGACGACGATGGCGCCCCACGTTTTTAACCAGCTGGAGCTAGTGTGTATATTTATATACGATGCTCCGAGCGATCTTCTCTTTCCATATACTTTGGCCTGGCCCTCATTTTCCATCCATCTCCGTGTATACTTACTCTTTTAGTGTATATAGAGCCCATCAGCATCTCAGCTCCCCCCCCCCCTCGTCGTTATAACAAGACTTTAATTAGCTAAATTGATTTCGCGCCATAAAGGCGGTATATATGTACCTACCTAAGAAGGGAATCTATAATGGCTCGCTGGCTCAGAGAGGAGTCGCACTTTGCGAACACCCATCTCCCCCCCCACTTCCTCTTGCTTCCAAAGTCGTGGCTTCCCTCTATGCTTCTTCTTTTGTTCTCTTTACACTCTCGTGCTCCTCATCCCACCCCCGCCGCCACCATTTCCACTTTCTTCTCTAACGCTTCTTCCCCCCCCCCCTCCTCCATTCCGGTCTCGCGTATAGCTTGTCGATTGAACGATGCTACTGTATAATGCACCTATACTTGCTCCGCTTGGTCTTTTTCTTTCTTTTCCGCCTTGTTTCAAAGAAAAATTTTAATCCCTCCCCCACCCCTGTCAAGTTAGGAAAGCTGTTACCATTTTTCGTTCGAGCTGATGCAGTCCTGCTTTCAATTTTTTTTTTTTTTTTTTTCACCCCTCCCTTCGTGCATTGCCCCGAATAAAAGTCTATTTCCCGTCTAACGGAGACTTTACGGGAAAAATGACGCGAAAGTATACAAGTGGGGAGGGGGAAATTTGATTTTTCGCGATTTAACGGCCCGAAGGCGCGTCAACGCCTATATGACTACGGATGATAAAACAAAAGGGGAGGTTCGCATCATCGTCCAAAAACCATTATGGCTCCCAAAGTTGTGTTTATTGTCCTTCCGAAAGTTGCTTGCGGACCCAACATTCCTAATAATAACGTGGGACGAGCAAAAGCAAAGGCACTTACTTGTGGAACAAATGCGTGGGAGGAAATACACACACGGGGGGGGGGCACATCCGTCTGTTGACGCGGTGTACGTGCCCCCATCGAGGTTTCCCGAACTTTAAGGACCTACGGCTTCTCCTTCGCGCTCGAGTCTCCTCCGCAAAAGAAGTACCAAAAGAGGAGCAACAGCGGAGTACGTTCCGCCGAAGGACACAAACACGAGAGAAAGAGATGAGCCAAGGGCGGAGTTTGGACCAAGTTTGGGAGCCGGGGGGTGGTTATAGGTGGCGAAAAGGCGAAGCGAAGCGGTACTAACTGTGTCTTCTTCAAAGCCAGCGTTTCCACATCCGTGACTCTCTCTCTCTCTCTCTCTCAACGACGTGCTCCCGTGCGTATATGTGTGCACGCGCACGTAGACTCACTCGCCTTACTTACCCCGAGTCTATACTTCCAGAGAAGAGAGCCCGAAAGCCAAGGTAAACCCAGCCCTGGTAATAATTTCAATCGACGAGAAGAGGAGGTATCATAAGCTGCTGGGA